TCAGCAGACCAGGGAACTGCAGCGGGCACAGCCTGAAGCGGCTGCGGCCCCCGCGGACAGGTTAGAGTGGGGGCAGGGGCGGGCGCGGGAGCAGCCCCGGGCCGGAGAGGGGGCTCTCGCCAGCCCCTTTGCAGCCATGTCCGATGAGGCGTCGGCCACCACTTCGTACGAAAAGTTTCTAACCCCGGAGGAACCCTTCCCGCTGCTGGGCCCCCCTCGCGGGGTGGGCACCTGCCTGAGCGAGGAGCCGGGCTGCCTGGACATCAGCGACTTCGGCTGCCAGCTGTCGTCCTGCCATCGCACCGACCCGCTCCATCGCTTCCACACCAACAGGTACGGAGCGCGGCCGAGGGCGAGAGCCGATCGCCTACACCCCCGCCTCGAGCCGGAGAAGCCCCGGCAGACCCCGAGCCGACGCTGCTGGCAGTCCGGCCTTCCATTCGCTCCCTCCCCCGCCTTTCTCTGACCGGCGCGCCTTCTCATCTCCCCCTCCCTGTTTTCACCCCTGCCCTCTGATTTTCCTCGCGGCCGGCATTTTACACTCCCTTCCCCACCCCATCCCTCCATTCATCTGACCCCAGCGATTGTCCCCTCCCCTCCCGCCCGCATCTGTGGCTCCACGAATACCCTAACCCCCGCTCGTGATTTGTAGATCCACCCCTCCCCAACCCCAGTTTCCATCCACCCGCAAAAGTTTAACCCCTTCCATTTCCGGTATGCTCTGGGGTGGATTTCGGATGCCTCCAAACCGAGTCACGGAGACACTGAAAGATGCATTTAGAAAGCTAGTATCTTCTTGTTTTGAATTTTTAAACTGTCTCAAGCCCTGTCTCCACTCACCATCACGACTTCTCATTTTTTAATGAAGCTTTGGGAAATAGGATTCGAGTTTTTTTTTTTCCCCTTCCTCTTTTATACCCTTTACTTTCCCACTTTAGGCCCTGCCAAAACGTCTAAGATTAAATCTGGAATGTTCCTTGACTAAGCTGGAGGGATGGAGCTAGGTTTAGGATGGACTTTATTACACAAATTTATTCAGAGGGTGTACTTGCTTCCTGGTTTTATTGGAAGGTGGAGTGTTTTAGAGAATTGTCTCGAGCAAACACGAGTGTTACACCAAATTTGAGAGATATAAAGATGTTTGACACATAGTCCCAACCTTTAATTTAGGTGGATACTTCAGATCTCTATGCAAAGGCCTGGGAAGTTGTGCAGAAAATGGGGAGGGTTCAGCTATGAAAAATACTAGAGATGAATTCAGGAGCCTGGTTCTGCAGTCTGATCTCGGTTTCCAATATGAGTATGAATAAGTCTGTCCACTTGTCTCCACCCCTTAAATAAGTGCAAATTTACTGAGCTGCTGCAAGTACAAGGAATGTATAAAACCTGACTCCTGCCTACAAGGTGTTCAGAGTTAACTAATGATACAGAACATCACTGTAACACTTTTGAAAAGGTGAAAAAGAAGTGGTAGTTAGGACTGTATCAAATCATCATTGCAAAAAGGAAACTGAGGCCCAGAATGAAAAGATTGAGTTCAAGGTCATAAAACCTGGTTAGGAATTCAAGACCACTGCTTTGGAGCGTGATGAAACTTGAAACAGAACTCATGGCTCCTAGGTTGTAAATGATCCTTAGTTTCCTGGACACTAGCTCACAGATGTCTGTTTAACCCATGATGTGACTATAGTGTGAATGTAACATATTTATGATATGTTTAGAGTCATTTGCATTGGAAAATAGCATAAAAGAATACTTTTTGCACGTTTGCTAATTAAGATTTGGATCAGAAAATAAAAGAATACTTTTGCATATGTTTGATATTTAAGTTTTTCATCATTGGAGCAAGTTAAACAGAATACATTTCTTACATGTTGCTCTGTTAATTTCTCTTCAATCTTTTTCCCTGTGCTTTTCCAACCCTTTTCTTGGACTGTGATAAGGTCAAGGTTGTTTTCCCTAAAAGCAGTGAAAAAGAGGGGAAGGTTCCTGTTTGGTTCCAGTTTTTATTTTTCCTAGATACTGGTTGCCTTCTCCCTGTCCTACCCAACTTTTCAGAAGGCTTGGAATGGCAGCAGGGGTTGTAATATATTTTTTCCCATACCCCCCCTTTTTTAAAGATATATTTGTGCATACAGAACTGGGGTACAGGCCAGAGGCTCAGGGGTGGTGAGAGGCTTCACCAGAAACAGAGTGGGAAACAGAACAGGCAGATGGACGAAGTACACTGCTGAGGGGAGCCGCGGGCGGGTCAGGAGAGGTCTGCCACGCCATGTGGTCACCTCTGGGGCAGGTGGGAATCGAACTCATGAGGAAGTGGCTTTAGATTCTCAGTGCTGTGCTTTAACCCGCTGCGCCACCAGGGAGGGCCTCCCATACCCTTTTAGCACAGGTAAGGGGAAGCTGAATTAGCAATACTTACTTTTAACAGATGAGGCTATCTTGCTTTTTTAAACATTCTGGAATGTTCTGCCTTTTTACCTCTCCTCAAGGTGGCATTTGAGAGGGCCATGTGCTTTCAGCCATTTCTTTTCAGTGAGAAGCAAAGTAGTTGGATTAAATATATGGGCAGAGTTTAGTTTTGAGAGTTCTACGTGTCACTACCCCCCGCCATCCCATCATTCTCTGATTCACACAATAATTCAAAAATCAGACTTGAATATTTAAGTACTGATATTCTGCCTTATAAAACAACTATATCTGAAAATAGAGTGCTTATCAGTGGGTACTTAATTTTCCTTTATTTTTGCTCTTGTCCTCTGATAAGAAAGCTGTGAAGATTATTTCAATAAACGTTTCCCCTACTTTCTGAAAGTAGAACATTTCTATTTGGTGTCATTTGGTTATTTTTGGGGTCTGGGAACACTTAAAAATTATTCCATACAAATAAATTAATGGTAACATTACCCCCAGGCCCCAAAAATAATCTAACCAATCAAACCAAATGGGAGTGGTCCACTTTCAGATAGCCATGAAAACTTGTGATGCCACTGATAAGGGTCTTATGATGATGGCATTTTTCATACTGCTCATTTATTGGACTCTGGACTATGCAGTTTTCATTAAGAAAGTCATGCACTGTTACTTATAGTCCCTAAGGTTAAATGTTGGTAGTGACTACCTGAATTGCCTGTGAATTGGGTTGGTGTATCAATGGTCTAGATTCTCAGGTTCCTGAGAATTCACTTTCCTAGAAGTATCTTTTGTCTGAAATTTTGGGAGAATAAATTTCAGTAAACCAAAAAACTTATTTTAGATTGAAATGTCAGTATGGAGTATGTATAGTGTTTAAACCTTTTTTTTTTTTGTTTGTTTGTTTAGGGGACAGGATGTTTCTGATGTAATTGTGGGTTTTCTTTCAGCACTTGCCCACTGAAACCTCCACCATCATCAAAAATAAATGTCAAATTGAATAGATAATAATGATGTTGGTATGTCCTATAATTAAATTGTGAAATGATGCAGGTTAATATGAACTACTCAGTGTATTCTCTTCATCCTTCAGTAGTTCATCATTACTTTGACATTGAACAATTGTGAAAAGTGTGTGGGAGGACAGTGCCCCACTTATGTACACCCAATTGGCAGGATACAAAATGAACTATTGTACAAATCAGTTCCTTAGTTATATGATTGTAGAATCCCAGTTTCAATCACCATTAACCAAAAAAACCAAAACCCAAAACCATGGTGCCTTTTTTTTTTTTTTACCAGCCCCACTTTTCATGTCTTCCAGGTACAGAAGAGCTGTGAGTTGCAAGTGGGAGAACCAGGTTCCATGATAGGTAATACAGGCAGGAATAATTTGGTGTGGGGACTTGCTGAGACAAATTGAGAATAAGCCCCAGGCTTAGGCAAACTGTCTAGGCTAGAACTGTAAATTTGGGAGTACTTGCAATAGAAATTATAGTAGCATGATAAAAGTAGAACTATGGGGTCCAAATTTGAGAGAGTAAAAGAAACTTTTCAACAAATTTAGCAGGGAAATATGGTAGCAATTGTGGAAAGAAGTTAAAATTTCTTCATTTGTTTCTTGCTCTGCTTCATTTTTTCCCCTAAGAATTGAGATCTTACTTCATTAGAAGCAGCTCACACAAAGGGGAAAGCTGAAAGTACCAGGACGGGTGGGATGACAATAGAACGATGCAATGAACTTCTATGCCCAAGTGGAAGAATTAGCCTCAGATGACATGGAGTGTTTCTACCTCCAAGACTGCACAGCAATGAATGATCCCAAGGCAGCGAGGTCACTAGGACAGTTGAGAGTTACAGTAAGCAGAGTTGGGAGGTTTTGCTTTTACTTTGGACCTAGGGCATAATAGGCCAGTGGTGTTTATATGGGGATTCTGGCAGAGACTTAGTGATGCATACAGTGATGATAAGGGACTGTCTCAAGGATGAATGCATGGCTTGGGTTTGAAATTAATTTTATCAGCTTCATAGTGGGACTTTATTCTCCAGGGCTCACTAGCTGGATACTCATCGTGAGGAGTAAATGGTTAGGTCCACCTGAGAGGAAGTGCTGCAGAAGAGTGTGTATATGGTACACACACATACTTTTCTTACGTTTGACAAGGTACCATTGAAAGTCATCATCTTGTGTGTTCTTACTGAAGAGCCTTGCAGATAAGTGTTCTTCGCATTACTTTCTTAATTAAAATTTGAGCAGCAAGCCTTGTTACTGAGTTAAACCCCATTTCATTGGCATTCTTTTCAGCATTTTTTAAAGATATGGATAAAGTTTCCCTTGTGAGTAATTTCTTGGTTATAGCTAGGATCTTAATGTTAGGTCGTAGCTTTCTCTTAATGGAATAAGATGTAAGGGCTTTGTAAACATAAATAATTCAGTGCTAAGCACACACATAGTGGGCTTTCATTACATGTAAAAAACCAGCAGAACAGTTAAAAGAATCATACTTTATTATAAAAGCTCAATTTAGAAAATCATGGGTACTTATAAAACTTTGAAGACCACTTTTGATCCCTTTCCCTAAAGATAACAACTGTCAACATTGTAATTTTATTGTAATGCACTATTTACATATATAATTTTAAAAAATCAGGTTCAAGCTATATATAGTTTGTGACCAGGTTATTTGCTCTTATATTGCAAGTGTTCCCCTTTCCAAGAAATAGTCTAAAAATAGTATTTTAAATGATTATGAAAACACCAGTACTCAGGTATATCACTTAATTATTCCCCATGTTTTGTGGCATTCCATTCCCCCCCCCCGTTTTTTTTTTTTTTTTTTTTTTTTTTTTACTATTACAAATAATGTTGTTTGTAAATAATGTTTTTTCCAAATTTCTATTTGGGGAAAGGTTATATTCCTAGAAGTGCACTTACTGGGTTCAAAGATCTAAACCTTGTTAAAGCTCTTTATATATATATATACATATATATACGTACATACAATCAAATTGCTTTCCAGAAAATTATGCCATATTAATGCTCCTACTAGCAGTGGGTGTTTCCTATTTTGTTTTTATTCACATTGCCTTAACATAATAAAAATAATATCTTCAAATTAGAAATAGAATTTTTAATACCTTTATTAGTACAATGTACTGTTTTGCTGTATTGTAAATGACTTGCTGTAAGTATGAGCTCAGTTTACTTGCCATTGTTAATTAAAAAAACATAATAAAAGGCCTCTGAGAATACCCAGAATTCTCTTATATAATCATAGATCTTGAACATGGAGAAACATACTTTTCTAACCTTAAAGTAAGAGCACAAAGTCAAGCAAATTCCTGACTTCCTTGTCAGTAATCTAATCGTTAGATTATTAAGTATGGCACAGTTTTTTGAAGGAAAGTTATTTCTTGTGGAGGGAGACACATTTCTACAGAATTTTTGCAAACTGAAAATATATTCTCATAGAAAACAACTTTCTTAACAGCTTTTCCTACCATATAACACAGGACATGACACAGGAGATACTGAATGTTTGTCTATGAGTGAATATATGGAAGTCAATATAATTCACATATAATTTGAAGACAGGGAAAAATTGTTTGCCAGGACACAGCCTAGATATGCATTTCTGTGTCCAGAACAGAATTTATGATTTCCATTCATAGCTTATGGTGATGTTGCATGATCTGACAAATTTGGTTAATTCTATCAGGTTTGTTGATTTTTTTTTTTTAATGAGGGTATTTGCCTACATGAGGAGTCTATGAGGAATCTAGGGAGTATTACCGGGTATATTCTAGAATTCTTAGGTGAATTTTAGATTTTTGCCCATTTGTAAAAGCTTATTTGCATCTTTTATATTTACTGAACTGTAATAGTTTAGAGAGAGAGTGTGTGTTTCCATGCTTTAAAACATTATACCATTAGCTCAAAAGAAAAGGTGCCTTAAAATTTTCAGGTTGCCCAAATCTTTTAAGTCAGGAACTTTAGAATTAAGATTAGCCATACAAAATGGATGGGGGGGGAGGGGTTAAAAAATGAAATATATAATTCAAGAAAAATTTGGAACTAATGATGAGAAGCAACCTAATAATAGGTAAAAGGAAAGAAGTTTAAAAATGATTACATAGTTCAAGAAAATACTGGATTTAATGAAGGGATGAGAAGCAACCTAATAGGTAAATGGAGGAAGTTATAAAATGAAATACGTAATTCAGGAAAAAACTGGATTTAATGAAGGATAAGAAACAATTAATAGATAAATAACAGGCTCTTTCTTCAGGAACTTATTGCAGTACCTTATTAGTATCAGAAATACTAAATAATTATTTTAAGGATTAATTGCCTAGGCTACGTCTGAAGCAAAGAACAGTCTTAATATTATAAAGTTAGTGGAAATTTACAAAGGAAAACATACTCATAGGTTTTGAGGCCGCAGAAAAAGTATGTAACTCTGCAACAAACACTGGGGACAAGAAATTAATATCACTAATGCATGAAGAACTTTTATAAAATCAAGAAGGAAAACATTAACACCGATGTCCTAGCAAAATAGCTAATACATATTTTTAATTTTTATCTAAGCAACAATCACAGAAATAAAATTGATATAAAAATTCTTTTCTCCTATCAGGTAATTTTTTTTTAGTATAATAGTTTGTTTTTTCATCATTTTGTGCCTTTTTCCATCTCAGTTGCTATCAGGTAATTTTTTTTTTAAGATTTATTTATGCTTACAGAACTGGGGTACAAGCCAGAAATGTGGTAGGTGAGATGATTCACCAGAGACAGAGTGGGGAGCAGAACAGGCAGACTGACAAAATACACTGCTGAGGGCAGCAGCGGGTGGGTCAGGAGAGGCCTGCCATGCCATGTGGGTCAGCTTCCTGGCTGGGGATCGAATTCATGCTGCATTGGCTTTGGAGAGCGTCATAATGTAGTTCTTTAACCCATTGTGCCACCAGGGAGAGCCCCACTATCAGGTAAATTTTAATGGACATTCCAGTGCTATTAATGTTGGGGTGAAGTGAGAGAGCACTCTTTAATACTGTTTTGGAGAGTGTTAATTGAAGCAGCCTTTCAGAAAAGTATTTTTGTACTGTCAACTTTAGAAGTTTTCGACCTTTGACTCAGTTTCCTTTTAAATAATATTTTATTTGGAGAAGTAATTACGAACAAAAAGGTTCACCCAGTATTATTTATAATACCCAAGAAATTTGGAAAAAGCCTAAATATTTATTATTGAGAGGATAAGGCTAAATAAAAGATGGTACAACTGTCATAATTTGGACTGTCAATGGGATATTTATTATATAGACATTAAAATATTTTCAAGTAATATACTTGGGAAAATGCTAAGTGGATAAAAAGCAGAATATTTAAAGTACATGCACACAGAGTACTCATTCTGTAAAGAATAAATACACATGTAGGAAAAAAGTACCAAAATATATTGGATTATTTATTGTGGGCTAATGGGTCTATTCGCCATTTTTATTTCCATCACTACCTTCTTAAGTTGGCTTCCTTGCGATGATAATATATAGCAGTGCTATGGAAAAACTTTAAGATACTTAAGTTTGTACTTGTGAGCTTTGTTGCTTTTCTCCGCCCTGCAATGACAACGCTGTTCCTTTAATAATGCTAGTAATAATAATAAGAATAGAGCCATATATTGAGTATTTTTCCTGTCTGCTAAATGTTCTGTATGCATTCTCATGTGATCTTCATGATAACCATATTTCGAAGATGAAGGCACAGGCTTGGAGAGCATGTGTTTTGCTTAAGACTGAACAAGCAGACAAGTGACAAAGCAAACATTTGAGTTCATGACTCCAGAGCTTACTTACAACCTCTGTGCTCTATGTCTTTATGAATAAGATATTACTTTACTCCTAATTTAAGTGCATTTTTCCTTAAAAATATTTATTATAAAAAATTTCAGACAGGGGCCCTCCCTGGTGGCGCAGCGAGTTAAAGCACAGCACAAAGAAGCTTAAGCCACTTCTGCATGAGTTCGATTCCCGCCTGCCCCTGACGGAGGTGACCACATGGCGTGGCAGACCTCTCCTGACCTGCCCGCTGCTCCCCTCAGCATTGTACTTCGTCGATCTGTCTGTTCTGTGCCCCACTCTGTCTCTGGTGAAGCCTCTCACCCTCCGTATCTCTGGCCTGTACCCCAGTTCTGTACGAATAAATAAATCTTTAAAAAAAAATTTCAGACAGGTCTGAAAGCAGAGAGAATAGTGGAATGCATCTCATATACCCTGCTTCAGTAATTACTCACATATGTCAACATGTGTTATTAATGCCCCTAGTCATTCCTCAATCATTTCCTTATTATTTTGGGACATATCACAGACACATTTCATTCATTGATATTTTACTATATATCCTTAAAAGATAAGGGCACTTTTAAAATAGTCACTACCACTTTCATACCTAAAAATATACTAACATCCCTTATAAAAGTCATAAGTATATCCTATTAATATTTTTAAATTGTGTGGATTCTGAGTTCCTGCTGTGATTTCTTTTGTATTATATTTTTAAGGTGGAACTTAACTTCTTGTGGAACAAGTGTGGCCAGCTCAGAATGCAGTGAGGAACTGTTTTCATCAGTTTCTGTTGGAGATCAAGATGATTGCTATTCCCTGTTAGATGATCAAGACTTCACTTCTTTTGATCTATTCCCTGAAGGGAGTGTCTGCAGTGATGTCTCTTCTTCTATTAGCACTTACTGGGATTGGTCAGACAGCGAATTTGAATGGCAGGTAGGTTTTTTTTTTTTTTTTGGTCTTACATTGACAATTTTAATACATTTAAGTATGGAAAGCAATACTTTGTTTTGATATTTTCGTCTCTACCTCAGAGTATGTATCTCTAGTATTTATCCACCCATGGCTATCCCTTGGCGATATTAAGAATTAGATGGAATAAGAATTGTTTTGACAATTTGGAATTAAATGGAATATTTTTGCTGATATGTAACCTTTTAAACTTCTGATGCTACAGGTATCATTTTGTAGATTTTCATGTGGTTTATTCCTTGTACAATCTTCCTATTATTGTATGTCATCAGTACCTTTTTATGCATGAATCCAAGCAGATTTACTCTTCCTACATTGTGATGAGTAACCTTTGTGTCCTTATAGACACAGTGTCCTTACATCACGGCCATGTTATTGAACTTGGACCACCAACCACTATTACCATAAATACATAATTTTTACTCTTGTTATCCAAAATACAAAATAATTTCCCATTTGTTTTCTCCTTGTAGGTTTGTATGTTTTTCACCAGACAGTAGTTTTTCTTCTTGTGGCACATAAACTGTAAAATGTCTCTGAAGAAAATTGTTTGGTAATGTTTGTGATGAGGCAGTTGATCAGGAAGTGTAGATTATGTTATGGCAGCAACCATTTTCTGATTGTGAATAACATTTATTTAAGAGAAGCTTTCTTTGCATATAGTTATTCCATATTTGAGTGCCTGCTATGATTGCAAGCCACCTAACCAGCTGAAGTTGTAGTCAACTATTATTTCAAGTAATTTTTATGGCATTTTCAAATACCACAGAATAACAAAAATGTCTCCAAGTTGCACTCCACTCTTGGTACCACTGTTAAGAGCTTGTGAAAATACAAGTATGTTTGCAGTATTAAAAACACACAAATGAGGGCCCTCCCTGGTGGCATAGTGGGTTAAAGCACTGCACTGAGAAACTAAAGCCACTTCAGCATGCGTTCGATTCCCACCTGCCCCGGAGGTGACCACATGGTGTGGCAGACCTCTCCTGACCCACCCGCTGCTCCCCTCAGCAGTGTACTTTGTCGATCTGCCTGTTCTGCTCCCTACTCTGTCTCTGGTGAAGCCTCTCGCCACCCCTGCACCTCTGGCCTGTACCCCAGTTCTGTATGTACAAATAAATAATCTTTAAAAAAAAACACACACACAAATGGGATTCAGCCACCTTTTTACCTTTTGCTTTTTCAACTGTCATATATCTCATGCTTTCTGATAACTGCATTGCAATTTATTTACTCATTTCTCTAATAATGAATATTTAAGTTGCTTCATTTTTTTCTTGCAAAGCTACCCTGAAAATTGAACTTTCAAAGAGGAACAAACTTAATTCCCAACCCCTCTGATTTTACAGTTTATTTTATTCAAATACATATTTTATAAGCAGTAACATACTACTTAGATTGAATTTTTTTAACTTTCAAAAAATAAAGATAAAATTCACCATTTTAATAATCTTAAAGAATTTTTACTTTAAGTAATTTTTAATATATTCACACTGTCGTGCAGCCATTAGGCATAGTGTTTTCAAGATTTGTCTGTGTTGTTGCATATGACAGTATTTCATTTTTGTCAGCTCTAGTTGCTATAACAAATACCATAGACTTGGTGGCTTAAGCAGCAAACATTTATTTCACACAGTAGAATGTCAGCATGGTCAGTTTCTGGTGAGAAGTCCCTTCCTGTCTTTTGCTATGTCTTCACATGTCGGGGAGAGAGAGCTGTGCGCTCTCGTATGCATTTACAGGGTGGCTAGTCCCATCATGAGGGCACCACCCTCTCCTAGTCACCTCTATTAGAGGTCCTACCTCCAGATACCATCACAGTGGGAATTAGGACTTGAAGATAATGGATTTAGGATGGAGTGATGCAAACATTCAGTCCATTCAAATTCCTTTTTATGGCTGAATATTCCATCGTATGCACACGCTACACTTCATTTATTCATTCATCAGTTGATAGACATGTGGGTTGCTTTCACTTTGGGGCTATTATGAATAATACTGCTATGAACATTCAGGTACAAGTTTTCACATAGATGTGTATTTTTAATTCTCTTAGGTATACACTCAGAAGTGGAATTGCTGGGTGGTGTGATAACTTTATATTTAAGTGATTAAGGAACTGCCAAAATGTTTTCCAAAGGGGCTATTTGCCATTTTACAAGTCCGCCAGCAATATATTTGAGTTTCAGATTCTCTGCATCCTTGTCATCACTTGCCATTGTTTTGTCTTTTTTATTATAGCCATCCTATTGCACATAAAGTGATAGTTCACTGTAGCTTTGATTTGCATTTATTTCCATGATGACTAATGTTGTTAAGCATCTTTTCATGTATTTATTGGTCATTTGTATCGTCTTTGGAAAAATGTATGTCCAAGTCTTTTGCTCATTTTTAAATTGTATCATTTGTCTTTTGTTGTTTATTATAAGAATGCTTTATATATTATATGCCAGGCCCTTATCACATATATGATTTGCAGAAATGTTTCCCATTCTGTGGGTTGTCTTTTCACTTGATAGTGTAAGTGAGTGTCCTTTGATACAGATTTTAATTTAATGAAGTTTATTTTTTGAATTATCCCTCTGATATATTTTAAAATTAGTTGCTTAATCCAAATCCTGAAGATTTTCACCTTTTTCCTTGTCAGAATTTTAGTTCTTACATTTAGATTTTGACCCATTTGAATTACTTTCTGTATATGGTACAAGACAGGTTCCAGATTCATCCTTTCTCATTTTTTAAAAAGATTTATTTATTTATTTGTACAGAACCGGGGTACAGGCCAGAGATGCTGAGGGTGAGAGGATTCACCAGGGACAGAGTGGGGAGCAGAACAGACAGATCAACGAAGTACACTGCTGAGGGGAGCAGCGGGCGGGTCAGGAGAGGTCTGCCCGCCATGTGGTCACCTCTGGGGCAGACGGGGATCGAACTCATGCCAAGTGGCTTAAGCTTCTTAGTGCTGGCTTTAACCCTCTGCGCCACCAGTGAGGGCCTTCATCCTTTCTCATTTTAATATGCAACTGACTTAACACTGTTGAAAAACTGTTCTTTGTTCAAGTATCCTTGGCACCATTGTTGCAAAAATTGGTCATATTCATATAGATCTAGTTCTGAACTCAATTCTATCCCACTGATGTACAGGTCTGCCTCTATGCCAGTAGCATGCTGTTCTGATTACTCCACTTTTGTAGTAAGGTTTGAAATAAGCATGAGTCTTTCTGTTTTATTCTTTGTTAAGATTGCTTTAGCTATTTGGGGTCCTTATTGCAATTTCATGTGAACTTTAGGATCAGGCTGTTCATTTCTGCCAAAAGAGCAATTAGGATTTTGGTAGGATTGGATTGTATCTATAAATCGACTTAAATAATGTTGGCATCTTAATAACAGTAAAAAAAAAAAACACGTAAACATGGAAGGAATGTCTTTGTTTACTTAGGTCTCTCAATTTCTTTTGGTAATATTTTTGTTTTCATGTCCAAGCCTAGTACTACCTTGAGTCAATTCAGTTATAAATGTTATATTCTTTTGCTGCTGTTGCAAATGAAATCATTAATTTCATTGTCATTGGTATGTTTATTTTGTATCCTGCTACTTTGCTGAACTCACTTGTTAATTTTAATCTACATATGTTATTTTCTGTATGGATTTTTTCAGGTTTTCTGCATTTGAGATTGTGTCATCTGTTAATACGGTATCCCTTCTCCCTTTTCAACCTGGATAGCTTTTTTTCCTCCTTGCTTAATAGCTCTGACTAAATCTCCAGAATATTGTTGAACAGATGTGGCAAATAAGGGATTCTTGTCTTTTTCCTAATCTTAGGGAGAAGCTGTCACTCTTACCCTATAGAGTTAATGTCAGCTGCAGGTTTTTCTTAAATGCCCCTTCATATTGAGGCTTTCCCTTCCTGTGCCTAGTTTTAGTGTATTAATTAGACAGGCTATTAGATTTTGTCAGATACTTTGCATCTATTGAGATGATGATGCAGTTTCTTCCCTTCATTCTATAATATGAAAGAAATCCTAATTGTTCATAGTATATATTGAAAGGAGAATATTAATACTGAATTTGGTATCTTTATTCATTAGGGACATTGGGCTGTTTTTGTGATGCTTGTGTATGACTTTGGTTTTATAGAATAAGTTAGGGGTGTTCCCTTCTGGATAGAATACTGTAATTAGATTTTATCACTTAATACACAGATTTTTCTCATGATTTTAATAGTGACTTCAGTGACCCCATAATATTGCTGGTACTGGATGTGCCTGAACTTGTGAAAACTGTGTTTGTTATTCCCATATTTACATTTGTTTCAATTTTTTTCTATTCTAGGTAACACAGTAGTAAGCACCTGTGTGGGTAACTTTTTATTGCGCCCTGCTTTTATTGCCCAGGTGTACACTTTGTATTTAAAATCAGACTATAAGAATTCATAATGAGGTGTATTCAATTAGAGTTCTGATAATTCTAAGGAATGTTGTTTCCTGCTTATTTCATGTGACTTATTTAGAATTCTTGTCATCTATAATATTTCATGGTGACAGGGATTTTAAAATTTTAATTGCTGACTTCTTCACTCATTTTATGCATAGTTAAGAGTATAAAGCTATCCCTAACCACTCACCACTAATGTAAATGAATGACTAAGGCTCTAGAACACAAATCAGGTCTGTCTTAGTAATGTGTTTTCCCAGTTGGGAAATTGGAGTGTGGGTACTCTGTTACCATGGATATTTGCTATTTAAGTACGCTGAAAGGTTTAAAATGCTCTCTTGTCTTTAGCAGACCTCATAATGATGAGCAGTAAATTATCCAAGAAGATAATTACAAATTATGTGTTAGGCTTAATACAGACCCCCAAATGGTTTACTGTAATTTAAAAATTTATATTACCTCTGTTGTTATTTTAAAATGACTACATTTGTTTAAATCTTCTTAAAAGCTGTTTCAGTTACTTTTAAAGTAAATATAAATGTTCACAGACTCTGGGAAGGGAAATATTAACTACTTGATAAGGTAGGATTTTAATCTTAGGATGAAATAGCACTAAAGCATCTGAAGTAGCATCAAGGCATTTTTGTTTTGCTCCTAATATTCTTTTCTCTGCAGTCCTTTTATTACGAAAGATATATTTAACTAGACTTAGTGCTTGAGATTATTTTATTGTTGAGCAGGAGAGCATCGAAAATTTACAGAGTGAGTAATTCAGCTGTCATACTTAAAACCTGGAGGAGTAATCTGAAATTACACATCAGTTGTTACAGAAATGAGCTTATTCATAAAATTTTGCTGCATACTGCAGAAAATGTCGCAAAGGTTTGATTTAATTCTTCTTACATGTCACAGTTACTGATTGTAAGTCTACCAAATAGCGTTACCCATGAAAAATATGGGAATGAGAACTATTAAACATTTTTATCCTGAAATACATTATCTGTTATAAAATGGAAAATTGCTGTTCTAATAAATATATATGAACTCATACAATTATTTTTGCTGTATATCTGCTGTTCTGCTCTCGATTCTCCAGTAGTGACTGCTTGACATTTCCACTTGGATGACCTTGTTATTTAATGTTACCATATTAGCTGATGGCTGAGTTCTTGGTCAGTAATGTAACTTCCAATTATGTTTCCAAAGGAAAAAATAGGCTGCTTGTGACATCTAAAGTATAGTTGAAAATGACTTATTTAAAATGATCCTTACACTTGCTTCTCTCATTAATACTGCAAACTTTTCATATCCCAAATTGCATTGTTTTCTCATTCCAAACTTCCTGCAATGCAAGATGGCCTGCATAGTTGGAAGAACTGGATTTGTGTCCTACGTGGATACTATCACGAATTGTCTGACCATCCCCAGACATAATTTTTATTCTTTGTAAAATAAGGTTTTTGGACTAGAAGATCTGTAACATTGGTTACAGGTCTCCTTGCTGTAAAAACTGAGGCCTATGAGTGAACCACCTTGGATGGGTTGTATGTATGATAGTGTTCTTCTGTTCTCAGCTTGAGGTTATCGCACTGTTCTCGTTATCCTCTCTGTTATCAAACAACTTTATAAGTTATTTTTCAATTAAAAACTTACATTTCTGTATCAGTTTTCTCCATTTTTGTTTATCTTAGTCCAGGCCAGTGAGAAGAATTTCCCGTCTAATTCCATTCTATCATCTCTTAGTTTGGTCCCCTTACTGCCTTTTGAACTCATCTTCCCTCAACTGGTTTCATCATGTTTCTTCTTCTAAGAAAATGGTATTGACCTACCCCTACATTTTGTATATCAGCTTTCTGGTTATTCAGTTGAACTGTCAAATCCCTAACACTGATTTTCTGTTTTAGTTATATTGGTGTCCCTCCACTGTCTTTTTTTTTTCTTTTTTTAAAGATGTATTTATTTACGCATACATAACTGGTGTGCAGGCCAGAGATGCAGGGGCGGTGAGAGGATTCACCAGAGACAGAGTGGGGAGCAGAACAGTTAGACTGACTGAAATACACTGCTGAGGGGTGCAGTGAGAGGGTCAGAAGATGTCTGCAGCGCCATGTGGGTCAGCTCCGGGGCAGGGATCAAACTCATGTTGAAGTGGCTTTAGCTTCTTAGTGCTGTGCTTTAACCCGTTGTGCTACCAGGGAGAGCCTCCACTGTCTTTTTAATGCATGGTTTCATTAAAGTGTTCCCCTTACCTGAATGCCTTTCCCCCCACTTCTGTCATTCTGAGATACTACCTTGTGAGACTTAATCCATGTGAGCGACATATGGCATTCTCTGAGGGCTAATGCCCCCCTTTTTCAGGGGTCCAAAACCATGACAGAAGTGGGAAAAGAAAGGTAGATCTGTTTACTGAGTGTCACCTATATGGCAGACATGTTACCACATGTAAACCTTTAACAACATTTAAACTTCTAACCACATTCAGACGTTTGGAGTGAATTGTATGAACCATAACTTAAGTGAACACTCTGAGACTCAAAGAAGCAAGCTGACATCCACAACATCACAGAGCTAGTGACCAGAGGTTTTGAACTCAATTTGGAATCAATTCACTTCTCCCTGAATAAAGCGACCAAAGAGCCATGAATTGCCTTTTTTTACAACTCCACTCCTAACAGATACATAGCCAGAATTAAAGGCACAAATTTCAGTTGTTTGACATAACATTTGGCACCTAGCAAATATTCACTAAAGATTTACATGAAAATTTTTCTTAAATTTTGACACATAGATTTTGAGAATTCTTTTCTCTGTTTATCAAAGTAGCTTGAAGTGTAGGTCGAGGCCTTTCATCTGATAAGGAGTATCATGCTTTGCTTTAGGAACCTCTGATTGATTTTTGGGTTAGTACTATTGTGATTGGAAGTCTTTCAAAGGGAAAATAGCAAAGTATTTTCTTTTTTGACATTAAAGACCAAAAAAGAGGCGGCTTTCATGTGCACATTCAACAGCCATTCTTTAATGACATTGATAGTATTAGGGCCAAGAGTGAACAATTCAAACAGTGTTGATGAGATTGTAAAGGAAGTCGTATAAATTGTTGGAAGTTACTTATGCACTTGGACTCATCAGTAACTGTCAGAGTGAAAATGTGGTTCTTAAGAGTTGTAGCCAGGTTAGACAATTCATTCCGAACATCATGGTCACCTTGCAGTGATCTACCCTAGTTTTATGGCTTCACTCTTCTATGCTGTTGACTCCCCAATCCCGTTCCCCTGCAGTGCTCTTAAGCTTTAACTTTGCAGTTTCCATCCACAGCTAGATATTTCCTTTGATGATGACCTGTCATCTTAAATTTAGTATTCATCATGTGCTATGTTGTATAATTGTGTGTTTATGTTACTGTATATATTCTTACTATTTTATCGACCTAAATTCTTGTATACGGACTGTGGCTTATACACCCCTTTGAATCCCTTCTACCTGTTATTCAGTACTGTGGGTGCAATTGGAGGCCAAATACATGTGATTGTAGTCTTCTTTGTGACTAAAGTTCCCTTTCTCTTTTGATAACTTCCAATACCTAGTAATTATTCAGAGTTTAGATATAATTACAAAGTCTTACAGCACAACAGAAAGGGTGATATTTTGTACCTTATCAAGAATTTGTACCTTATCAAGATTTTGGAAGTTGTTATGTACTCCTTGTACAATATTATTTTTTGATGGATAACTTAAGCACATTTCTTTAAAGTGAAATCAAGAACCCTCCCTGGTGGTGCAGCAGGTTAAAGCACAGCACTATGAAGCTAACTGCAGCCACTGCAGCACAAATTGGATCCCGGCCAGGGAGGTGACCCACATGGTGTGGCAGACCTCTCTCCTGTTCCGCCCATTACTCCCCTCAGCAATATACTTTGTCAGTCTGCCTGTTCTGTTCCCCACTCTGTCTTTAGTGAATCTTCTCAACCCCCCACACCTCTAGCCTGTACCACAGTTCTGTAAGCATAAGTAAATATATTTTTTTAAATGAAATCCATTCTGATTTCCAGAGGTAATAAATATGTTTATTACCTTGCCTGTGGTTGCGCAAACGTTTATATGCATGGGTCCAAATCCATCCAGTTGGACACAGTTCTCTGTAAGTCGGCTGTTCCTCCATAAAGTTGTTAGGAATTTAAATCTAGCCTAACTGGCTTTTAGTAGGCAATATAAAATTATCACTTACTTTTGGTGTGCATATCACTTTAAACTGATTAAATTTTGTGTATATGAGACTTGCATGTCTCCATTGTCTCCATGACCCTTTGTCTTTTTTGCTAATTTCTCTCTCATAATGCTTCTGATCTGTACCATATTTTGTTTTCTATTAACAGCATAATTAAATTATTTTAATTGTGTCAAAGTTGTTAGCACAGACCTGAAGATAGGTAGCACAGTCTGTCTTTATGTAGGCAGCATGTCCAGTACAGTGCCGGCAAAAGCCAGGTATGTCAGCTCACTCAGGTCTCCTGAGATGGAGACCAGTGCTCCTCGCTCATTATGCATGCTTTTGCATTATGAACTAAAAGCCTTAATGATGATCAGCTCTTTAGTTTGTATTTTATCAAGTCTTGATTATGATTTTAAGCTTCTGGGAAATATTTCTCATTGAATAAATGACTACACAAAGAATATACTGATTTGTCTAAAAATAGGAGTGGATCAGAATGAATGTTTTCTGATTCTCTGTCATTAGTCTTTTATTAAAATAGTTTTTAATTAGCTTGAAGGGTTATGAAATACATTAAGTGTACTTTTAAATTTTTACTTTCCCTGTTTCCTCTTATTTTTATAAAGTTACCAGGTAGTGACATTGCCAGTGGGAGTGATGTGCTTTCTGATGTCATACCCAGTATTCCAAGTTCACCTTGCCTGCTTCCGAAAAAGAAAAACAAGCACCGGAATTTAGATGATCTTCCTTGGAGTGCAATGACAAATGATGAACAGGTACAAGTCACAATGTCGTTAACTAAAAACATATAAGGAGAGAATATGTGAAGTTCAGTTTATTTTCATTTATAATTACTGGGTAAATGTAGATTGCTTAGTAAATCTGAATTTGAATTTTAACTGTCTTGCAGGGGACAAGAGTAATAGTAAATGCTTCTGATATTTAAACACATTTTTAATGACATACTGAAAGATGAGAGGTTTTGACACTGATCTTTATTGTAATTTTTCATCACATAGGTGGAATATATTGAATATCTGAGTCGGAAAGTCAGTACAGAGATGGGTCTTCGGGAGCAACTTGATATTATTAAAATAATTGATCCTTCTGCTCAAATCTCCCCTACAGACAGTGAGTTTATTATTGAGCTTAACTGTCTCACAGATGAAAAATTGAAGCAGGTATGTAAAGAAAATACACACTGTGTAGCTACTAAAAATACCATTGTTGTATGAAACATAGGCTTGAACAATCATGTAAATGTGTTGACAATTGAGGTCAAAGCCACTGCAGTGAGTTGCAGTATTAGGGGGAAAATGATGTTCATATTTGAGAACATGTGATTTAAAGAGCTTTTATGTACATCTCACCTTTCTAAGATCGTGGCTTGGACCTAGAATCCACATTTTAATTGCATATGTTTTGAAACAATGATACCACTTAAGGGGCATGGTTATGCTTAAGGTATAGATTTATTCTAACTCACCTTACAAAAGACAGAAAGAATCAAAATACCTTATCGAGAGTTGGACTTAAGTGAACATTTGAGTTGAGGGATCGAAGCCGCTGAGGGAAATAAGCCTGGCTGGGGTAAAGTACAATGTATTTTCCTTCTGATATTCTGAAATACACATTTCTGACATTTTCTAAATACGTTCTTTACTGCTGTCTTTCTCTGGTTTATAGCTAAATATAATACTTATGTTCAACTTTGGAGTTTTATATAAATCATTTATGAAAAATTTCTTTCATTTCAGCATTTCTGTCAACAAACTCACTCTCATTTTCTACATTCCAGTTCATTTTTCATTATATGATATATGATCCCTTGCTTTTGAATCCATGTACCATGGGCGCCTAGCCAAGATTTAGGAGACATCCTAATTTTAGCTATAATGAGCAGCTTACTTACATCACCTTAAATGGAGACCGTTAAAAGAATCAATTTTAAATTGTTGTGTTTATCAATATTACTTTCTTATAACCTTAAATTCTGGAGGCCAGTAGTCTTCCATTTACTTACCTTCTATGTGCTTTTTAAATTTTGCTCCATAATATACATTATAGACTGTTAAGCATTGTCCATTTTTCTGGTACGTGTTTATATATTTAGATATATCTTTTGTCCTTATATTCCATAAATCTGTGTAACCCTGTAGTACTTTTGATAACCTTTTCCACTAAGTAATTTTCTTTTCTCTAGTAATTTGAAGGCAGGACACCAAGGAGCAGCACTAACCCGTGTTTGTGTGTCCAAAGGTCAGAAACTATATCAAGGAGCATAGTCCTCGACAGCGGCCTGCAAGAGAGGCCTGGAAGAGAAGCAACTTTAGTTGTTCAAGCACCAGTGGAGTGAGCGGTGCCAGCGCCAGCGCCAGCAGCAGCAGTGCCAGCATGGTCAGTTCTGCAAGCAGCAGTGGGTCCAGTGTTGGAAACTCTGCTTCAAACTCCAGTGCCAACATGAGTCGAGCACACAGTGACAGCAACTTGTCTGCAAGTGCAGCAGAGCGGATTCGGGATTCAAAAGTAAAACGTCTAATCAGTACAAAACTTTACCTTTCAATATTAACACCTGTACTCCTTCATATAAATTTCTTGAAGAGTTAAACTTACCCTGCAGTAGAGATGCTGTGGGTTTGGGTTTTCTTTCATTGATCAAGCAGGGTACTCTGCTGCTGATCACAACCCAATACCGTTTTGACCTACAGCCACATCACATTCAATTTTATCTGATTTTTGTGTCTGTTTGAAGTAAGATAAATTGATGGAAATAATGACTGAGTCTCAAGACTGCAGTATTGACTGCAACTCGCTACTAAGCGGAGCTCACTATGTTGCTGATGTTGCTGTCTATTGCTCCTAAGAGTGTTCTGTATGTCTTGTATGTTGACATGTTTTATTAACTGTCTCACTGTTGAATGTTTCTTCTAAACTCTTTAAAGAAATGTTCTAGTGCTTTCTCTAGTTTCTCTCTTTACAGTTGAAAATTTCTGTAAAACATTGGGCACAAAGTAGGACATACAAGTGTGATTCTTAGCTCGAGGGATTCAGCTTGTTGCAGTGGTGACAGTCTGGAGCTAACTTAAGGTTGATAAGCCTGTCTCAGTGTCTCTTTGGGAACCCAGTGGTGACTGGAAGATACATGATTCCCTTCCTGGCTCTTACTTAAATAGCAGAAACATAGCCAGTTTTGTTGGTTGCCAAGGGATTGATTCCTTTTGATCTGCGGTCGCTCCTTCTTGGCATCAGTCACTAGTGACAAGGCATAGAGTACCCACTGAGTTTCTAGTGGGCTTTTAAGATGGTATTTGCTTAATATGAAAACTACATGATTCTTTCCAAGACATATAGAATTGCTATTGCTTTTGAATGAAGAGCACCTTAAAATCATAATCATTAGTGATTTTAGAATGTTCTCCATGTTTGTATTCAGAATTGTTGACTGTCTATTCTGCACTCACACTGTTGTTCTTTAATTTTTTTAAAGTCTGAAATGGCTACCCATAACAAGTCAAAATGATCAAGTTTTGTCCCTTCCTTATTAGAAGAGTCACTGGTTCATAATATATATGCCATATTTACTTATATAACCATAAATATATTTATATATAACATAAATATAGAATCTTGTAGTTATCATTTTCAAGCCAGTGGGTTAATAAGTGGAACCACTATCATATTGCTGAGGACTTGTGGCATCTGTAAAAATTCTGGAAGTAGATAATTTGATCCATAAACCAATTTTGGGGTGTATATGCCAGAACTGAACTTTACTGATTTAGAAATTTTTCTTTTGACAGAAGAGATCCAAGCAACGGAAGTTACAGCAGAAGGCCTTACGCAAGAGGCAGCTGAAAGAGCAGAGGCAGGCCCGGAAGGAGAGGCTCAGTGGGCTCTTCCTTAATGAAGAAGTTCTGTCCTTGAAAGTGACTGAAGAAGACCACGAAGCAGATGTAGATGTTTTGATGTAATCAGGGTGGATTTCTCAGCACTCTCTTTTAAGCATTAAAGTATTCTATCCCTATTTGTTTACATGCATCTTGACCAAACTTTTAATTAGGGCTGTGCTGACATACCATTAATAATTTAGGCCAGTGGTTCTCAGCAGGTGGTCCCTGGACCAGCAGCTTTAGCATCATCTGAGAAATTGTTAGAAATGCATACTATCAGGCCCCACCCCAGACCTAGTGAATTAGAAACCCTGGGTATGGGCCCAGCATTCTGTTGTAACAACCACCAGGTTATTCTGCTGCATACTCTAGTTCTAGGAACCACTGATTTAGGTAAATGTTTTGACTATTTAAGTTTTAGTGTGGGTAAGTGGGCTTTTTCAAGAACTAGTACTTTTACAGTTTAGAAGATTTCAAGGTACTGCTGACAAGTAGTTTCTTGTGTCAGGATATATACACAATTCAGTTTTCTTTGGAATGTTTCAGTTGCATAGTTTACTTTTTTAAAGGGCCATAGCATAGTTCTCAGTTCTTAGTGGAAATCTGTTTTTGAGGTTGTGGGGCTGTGGTGTGGATTGATGTTTACAATAGTGCCTTCATTAGATTTAGTTCTGATTTCATTCATTATTAACACAAAAGTGTAAAAACAGGCCCTAATGTCTTTACTGTTAGCTTTGATTTCATTTCTACCTTTATGTAAATTGGGAACCTTTTATGTAAGTGATGACTACTGAGGAAACAGTGCTACTAGTAACTGACTATTAAACTTGATGCTATATTCATAGTCAAATGGAGAAAGCTATTCAGTCAAACAACTGATACTACTTTTCCACTGCTTTCTAAAATTTTGGTTGTGAATGTGTCTCAAAGGCAGAAAATCTCTCTTTCATATTCTTTTTGCAGTTGTTTTTTTTTTTTTCTCAGCACAACTCTCATTTTTAAATATTTTGGTATAATAGCTTCTTGATTGTGAATAAGCTAATGTTCAAAATTACCTAAAGTAAACGCTTAGATTTCTAGTTTATTTCTCTGTAACGTGTTAGAAATACACAGAACAGAGAGATACAGAAAACACCTTAGCTTTCTGATTATTATAGAGTTCTAATTTAAAATGTGAAATTTTGGGATTTCATTAGATGTTTTCACGGAGAGTGTACCATGAACATTAGAAGTAGTGTGATTCCTTTTCTTCTACCACATGTCTTTAATCATTCACTTGTGTTAAAGAAGATGGAAACTGATAACTACTGACAATCAAGCTGCTTTCTGAATTTTGTAGTTTTCTCTTCATTATGGATAACCTGGGAGTTATTCATGATTCTGTGGGAGGAATTGTAGTTGATTTTTTTTTAATTCTAGAGTTAGATGTTGATAGGTTTTCAACTTTCTTGTTAAACTTTTTGTCATAAGTAGCTCATTAAGAAAAGATTAGCGACGTAATTTTTGTTTTAAATTTTGGGGTTACATTTTTGCTCTAAAGGCTTAACCTTTGCTCACAGTCACAGGTTTTGAAATTTTTATTCATTTAGTTCTTTGAGTTAGAGTTGAAACTGAGGATACCATTTGATATATTGCAGCTTTGCTGAGATCTGTGGTATGGTTGAAACATTTTGAAGACTACTAAATTCATACTTTAAATTTTACTGGCGTAGTGACATATATGTGTGTATGGTTGTCAGTTGGAGTAGTCCTTCTGACTTTCCTGTTACCTGCTCTTTGGTGCACCTAAGCAGCGGCCCAAAGAGAGCAGGGGATAGACACCAGATTCTCTGGGGAAGTTACAAAGGGTTAGCCTCCTGGTACCTTCCCTTCCGAGCACAGGAAGATGAAGTGGAGAAAAGAGCAAATACAGCTGAATTTTCTGCTTGCTCTTAACAAAAGCAAACTCCTAGAGGATGATTGCCTGTTCCTTACCTACTCTCCAAGGAAAATAGGCCACTTTTGGAAACCATTCAGCAGCATTTATGTTAAATACTTGGAATGAATTTACTTGCTAGTGACTAGTAAAAGAAAATCCTAAACATGGTCTTGATGTAATAAGACCAGTTCTTCTTCACATCTAACAATCAATCACATTGTCTTAGTACCTTAGATTTAACTTAAGACGCTATTAAACATATTTACCAAAGCATAGGATACTAATTTAAAACAGTTTATAAAGGTTTGTGTTTTTATAATAAAGTTTGCCATGAAATTTTGTGCAGACTGACTGGATGCACTGTCTTCATAGTACTATAAATTAAGGATAGTTCATAAAATTGTTTTTGAGGAGATGAAAATACTCTCTTCTGATTAAAATAAATCAAGACAGGCCCTCCCTGGTAGCACAGCGGGTTAAAGCACAGCACTAAGAAGCTAAAGCCACTTGAGCATGAGTTCAATCCCCGCCTCTCCTGACCCGCCCGCTGCTCCCCTCAGCAGTGTACTTCATCAGTCTGCCTGTTCTGCTCTCCACTCTCTCTGGTGAATCCTCTCAACACCTCTGCACCTCTGGCCTGTTCCCCAGTTCTGTATGCATAAATAAATAAATCTTTAAAAATAAATAAATCAAGACAGTGTGTGTGCGTATGCTGGGAGAAGGGGATTTTACAGTCTTTCCATCCAGCCCCTTCCCCACAAAAACCCAGCAGAAAGAAATTAAAAATTCAGTGGCCTTTGTTAATATGCTATACTTTTTTCTGTTTTAATGCTCAATTAATTTAAATATGAATTATTTATCTCTGAATAGTAATAATAATATTTATCTCTGAATAATTATTGCTGAGTTCAGTTTAAACAAATCCACCTGAATTGTTTCTTTTTGAATATAAACTAACCAATTAAAATGTGAAATTTGTTTCCGCTCTCATCTGTAGGGATTGACATTAGAGTAAATGTGTCTCCCCTTTAAAAACAACCCTGTTAATGGGAGCATGATAAAAGTCCTCTCCGATCTACCCATGAACATGTTACTAGAGATTGTGTATATGTCAAATTATATCTCAATAAACTGGGAAAGAAGAGAAGTTTTTCTGACCACATGACAGAATTTTAAGTATTACCTCATAGAGTTAAGCAAAAAGCAAAAAACCATCTCTAACAGTTTTGCAACTGACTTAAAAGAAGGCAATGTAGTCAAATGTGCAGTAGAGTATAAAGGACTAATTCATTCTCTCCCAGTAAGAACTTAGAGGTAAATAATACTTTTTTTTTTTTGTCATGACATTTGTTTTATTTTTTGTTTTGCCTTGGTGATTTTGTGCCATTTCTCACTCCTTTGGGTTAACTAGATAGTGCTGAATTAATCCCAGAGACTGCTTTATAGGTTAATGACAATGAAGTGGCCGTTTGTCTCATTTTATTTAGCTTTTTAAAAGTGCTAAATCCCATCATAAAGAAAAGTTCCAACAAACTGTTGTACAGATATCTAGATTCTGATGAGCTTTAAAAATTGTGAAACTTATCAAATATCTTCATATTTAAGCCAAAAAGGTTAGTACACAATAAAAATAGAAGTCTTGTTTTTTGGATTCTCTAGTGGAGACTTTTTGTTTGTGGCTTACTCTAGTTAGCCTTATGTGCCTTAAGGTGAATTCTTACTTTTTGTCAATATTAAGCTTTTTCAAACTGAAAAATAATCTAAATGTTACAGTATGTTTTTAAAAATACCCATGCTATTGGATGTCAGTAAGTACGGCTGTCCAAGTGAACCAGTCAATGGTAATAAGGTGTCTAACAAAGGAGACACTTTCAGATCTCAAGTTTTATTTGTGTGACTATTTTTGGTTCAGCTAGGTCATTGAAGATCATGAAAGCTATCTAAAGTATAGTTTAATATATGCTTATGTGTTTTCCTCTGAAAAACATCATAAGCCAGAATACTTTTTAAATCCAGATAAGATTTAGTATCTGAAAAGATAATTTTCAAGGCAAAAGTACTTCAAGCGTAGAGATTAGATAGCAAGTTGATCATCTTGCTAACTTTAGGGATTCCTTGCATTCATTTTGTGATAGCTAGACTATTCCTCTCCCCTTTAGTGTACTGCCATTTAGCACTTTTTTAGAAAAATGTTTGTGGAATTAGGAGGGACTTAAAGTCAGTTTATAGTTTGAAACACTTGATAAAAATTCCCAGTTGTGTTCAAATAGTAGGTTGATATTGAGCTTATTGACATTCAACATGTCTAAACTTAGAGGTAAATTTAATCCTTAAAAGGAATATAGTTAAGAAGATAAGTATTTGTAATCACATGTACAGTGGTTAACTTTGGCTTCATTTTCAGTATGACAAAGTAAGATACATTTTATCTTTACAATGCAGTTATGCTAAGTGAGTAAGAAGCCTCTGAAAGATATTCTAGACTGAGGCATTTCTGTCACCATAGTATCTGGAAGGACATAGCTCCTTAGAATGTTTGTTTGGAAAGTTGTTTACTTATTCTAAAAGTTTTAGAAGGAACTCTGAATTACAACTCTGATTAATAACTGGCTGTTAAAAGTAATGAAGTTGTATGGTATAGGTGAAGATCTGAGTTGACTAAGGTTTTATTTCTTTTTTCTGATATCATGTTTTCAAATCCCATCACAATTATATTTTAAATTCTTACTAATGTTTTAACCTGGATCACATGATGGTAAATAATGTTCATTCTGACATTCATACTGAACTTAGAAAAATTAATTTCGTCTTCTCTGATTTTAATGTGTAGTACTTTATTATTGAATTTTCTTATTATGTCTTTATGGTCAATGGAACCTGTGGAAACCTGTTCTATTTTTGGGCTAAGGATTGGCCCAAAAATAGAAAGGGGGTAATTGGAGAAAGGGGGAAATTGCTCTAGTTATACATAAGCATTTTGACTTTGTAAAGGTAGTTATAGAATCGATCTGTATAAGTGACAAGTTAACACTTACTATTCTGAATTGTTCTAAGGAACAGTGGCCTGAAGCCATGGCTTGATTTGTGGAGCTGCTTGCTCATTGACTGACTGATTGGATTTAAGTTAAGGATTTGGGGTTAAGTTATCTAGCTGGGATGTTTAGGAATGGAGCAGACTGTGTCTGTTCCTATAATGGATCAATTTAATTTTCTCTTTGAGTACTCTAATT